CAGGGGAGAATAATAGGAAATAAGGCAACTGTATTTGAGCTTTTGATGGTCCAAGGCCTGCCTGAGACGGTATCATCTGTGTCTAGTTTCCTTCCTGAGATAATAAAGTATGAGCTGATAGAAAGGAAAGGTGGAAATGTTCTTTATTCTACTATACATGGTTAGTGTTATAATCGATAATCCTGTAAGCAGGTCTTTATATTTTTAACATGACAGCAGGAAAGATAAGTCAGCTCATTGGAGTGGTTAAGGGCAATGTAGTTGAATACTGGTTAAATTTCAGTGCCCAGGAACCCCTCAAGAGACAGGGGTCTAGACAAACACTGATTCCATAATTTAGCTCCAACCCACTCTGCTAAATCCCAGGAAATCCTATTTTTTATTTGCTTTCAGCTCTATACCCTTAGAAGTTCCCAGTGTGATTTCACTTTTAATCTGCCTTATGCTTGGAGTTTTAAGCTTTTTTCTTTTCCTTTTTTTATTTTTTGTGAGAATTAAAAAAAAAAGATGTGTGTGTGTGTGTGTGTGTGTGTGTGTGTGTGTGTGTGCATGCGTGAGAGAGAGAGAGAGAGGGAGAGAGAGATCCATGTTTTGGAGAAGAAATGGAAAATGGTCCAACAGGAAGCCTACGATTATTTCTTCAGAGTAACAAAGGCTAGTGAATGATCTGCTATAATTTGTGAAGAAAAGGTATTACATCTTCTAAACAGGTGTCTTTTTTGTAAGAAAGTGACATCTAGTTCTTGGATCACTTCCTCTTGATTGTATCTACCATGTAAGTATAGCAGAGAGTGGGCTTGGAAATAGCCAAGTTCCACAGTGATACTAGTATGAGCTGTGAGCGAGCAAGGCGAGAGTGATGCCTTCTTCTCTAAAAGGGAATGGCTCCTCAAAGCCCACTCTTGAGAAGGAAATATGATCGCTACTTACTGAACACCTGAAAATGTGATTTTTCTGAAGATTTATATAGTGGTCATGTGCCCACATATCCTGGCTTGCTCAGGACTGTTCTGGTTTTTATCTGTTGTCTCAAGGTAATTATCAGTAGTATCCCCATGCATTCACACAGATGCCCTAACTTGAATGATCAGTGTTACAGTCACCTTGTAGGTGGAACAGAAGCAAGATCATCAGAATTAATGCTGTTTGGAGTGAGGAGTGAGCCAGCATAAAGACATCCTGGGGAGTAAGTATTCTTAATTGGTGAAATGATATTTGGGTTGCTGAGTTATTGTTTAAAATGGCCATCTGTGACTTATTCTGTATAAAACAGTGGCTTGGTTACAGGAAAGTGAACTGTTTTTTTTTTTTTTTATTGTTGTTGTTGCTCTGG